GGCAGTCGAAGGGAAGGATGGAATGAGAGAGGCACTAAAAGGGAGGGAGAAAGGGAGGGGAAAGGGGCAGTAGGAGTGAAGAAGGGAGGAGAGGGCAGTAGAAGGGAAGGGAGGAATGAGGGGGGCAGTAGAAAGGAGGGAGGGAGGGGAGATGGGCAGTAAGAGGGATGGAAGAAGGAAGGAAGGAGAGGCAGTAAATTGGAGGAAGGAAGGAATGAAAGAGGCAATAGGAGGGACGGGAAAAGGAAGAAATGACGGAGTAAAATGGAGGAAAGGAAGGAAAGTGAGAGGCAGTAGAAGGGAGGGAGGGAAAGGAGGAGGGGCAGTAGAATGGAAGGGGAGGGAAGGAAGGAAGGAAACAGATGGGGTAACTTTTCAGCCAGGCTAATCATGCAAGGACCTGTTTTTGTGTTATAATATCCAAAGCCACTTATATTGACTTAGCATCAAGGCCGAGCAGTGCAAAACAACTGAAAACCAGGAAGAATGGTGGGCTGGGCCAAGTAAGTAGGTGATAAAATACAATGCGTCAACCTACTTCTATCTGTTTTCAAGAGAAACTGCTCCAAAGAGGGAAACTCTGGGTTCCCCTTCTACTCCCCCTCTAGAAAAGATGAAAGTGGGGGGGAGGGAAAACAACCTTTAAACCTGAATTAGAAGTTGCAGCTGGTGTTGGTTTGAAAGCCAGGGCAACGACGCCTTCAATTTATTAGAAGTTCAAGAGACTTGACAACTGGAATCCAAACTCTTCGGAGCATCTGCTTTTCTCCCATTTCCCCCTCTGAGAATCTGGATCCTGCCTGCTCCGTTTCACAAACCTCTTCCTTAATTTCAACCCTCCGTCCTTTTCAGCTTTCATCCAATGGTCTTTGGCTGCCTGCAGGAGTCGTTCTCAAGGGCACCAAGGAGAAGCTGCCAGCCCAGAGACTTGTGCATTTAGATGGTGAGAAGCATGACAAACAGAGGTGGTATTCAGCAGGTTCTGATCAGTTCTGGAGAACAGGTAGTGGAAATTTTGAGTAGTTTGGAGAACTGGCAGATACCACCTCTGACTGACCCCACCCCTATCTGTTCTCTGCCTCCCAAGTTCCAGCTGATCAGCTGGGTCTTCTTCGATTGCCCTGCGCAGAGATTGGAGCTGGAAAGCAGGTTAGTGGGGTGAGAATGGGGATTTTGCAATAACCTTCCCCCAGGAGTGGGGAGGGAATAGCAATAGGACGTAGACTTATATACAGCTTCACACTGCTTTTACAGCCCTCTCTAAGCGGTTTACAGAGTCAGCCTCTTGCCCCCAACAATCTGGGCCCTCATTTTACCCACCTCGGAAGGATGGAAGGCTGAGTCAACTTTGAGCCTGGTGGGATTTGAACTGCCAAAGAGAAGTTGCTTGCAATACTGTACTCTAACCACTGCGCCACAGAGGCACCTAATTTGGGGGGATTTTACAGTATCCTTCCCCTGCCACACCCACCATGCCATGCCCATTGAGCCACGCCACACCCACAGAACCGGTAGTAAAAAAAAAAAAATTGAATCCCACCACTGATGACAAAGCATCTGTTGGCCCAGGACTGGGCTGGGTGGTGGGTGAGAGACACACCTTAGAAGGGTCTGCTTGCTTATTGCCAACTGAGAACCACTGCATCCACCTCCACACACACACACACACACACACACACACACACAAAAACAGGCATACCCTGCTTGTTTCTGCTGACCCAAATCTTGGCTTTCTGCAGGCGTTTATTTATGGTTCATGGGTGAAAAAAACTTGTGACAAGAATAGAGCTGCTGCTTTTCTAAAAACACACAGATGCTCTCTTGCACCTTGAAGATTTCTCCACCTTGCCTCCCTTTGGTGGAAATAACTTACTGGTGACAGCAAGAACCCTTTTCTTGGCAGCATAGATGAGGTGAGCCAAAGGATTTCTTTTTTTAGTTAACCGTTATTTTAAAAATTATACCGGTGGCTATACAAGGACCCAGGCCTTTTCCCCCCAATACTTTTGTCCCATTGAATCAGGGGTGTCTCCTGACAACTGCCTGGGCCAATTCTTGGCAAGGTTTACATGAGTTTTGTCCTTCCTTCCCTCCCTCTTCCTTCCTCCTACCTCCTTTCCTTCTTTCTCCCTTCCTTTCTCCCATCTCCCTTCCTTCCTTCTCCAACCTTCCTTCCTTCCTCCCACCTCCCTCCCTCCCTTTTCTTCATCCTTTCCTCTGACAGAGCAGCTGACCCAAGGTAACCCAGGTTGTTTTGTGCCAAAGGCAGGACTAGAACTCACGCTCTCCCAGTTTCTAGTCATACACCTACATCAATCTGGCTTTCTATGTCTGGGATTAGGGTAGTATGTCACCTGACCAATGTTGTTTATTCAATAAAAGGTGTTCAATTGACTTAGTCTGACAGACCAGGCTAGAGCCCTGGTTTAAGAAGAAGGGTCCTTACCTTTGGTGGGAAACACCCAACCCCAAAGTTGGCAGAACGAAGGCAGCTGAGAGACACAAAGAGGGCTCACACATTCTCCATCCTTTTATTAAGGAATTGAAGGTTGCCTTCCACATTCCATAAGATTATCCATGGAGAGTTCTAGATGGTGATAATACCACTGCTTTCCCCAATATTGTTCTAGTTGTAGAGATGGGAAGAACTTAGACCTTAAAGCAGGGGTCTTCAAACATGACAGCTTTAAGACTTGTGGACTTCAACTCCCAGAAGTCCTGAGCTAACATGACTGGAAGAGGAATTCTGGGAGTTGAAGTCCACAAGTCTTAAACTTGCCAAGTTTGAAGACCCTTGCCTTAAAGGGAGGTATCTCTTGGGTAGTTCTAAGGACATAATTGGGTTTATTTCTCCCGTACAGCCACTTCCCTGGTGGTCTTCTTCTTCTGAGTGGCTAAAATAGGTTCCACCTAAATTCTGGGGTGAACCGGGAGGTCCGTTTCGGGAGACAGACTCGTATGGAAAAATTCACTCAATGCAAAAGTTTGCAGCTGGGGAACGTCACGTTGGAAACCCCAAAAGGAGAATAAACCTACATCTCTTCCTGGAAGACTCATCCTGCAGAACAATCTTTTAGGAAGGGGAAAAGGAAGGTCAGATCACTTGATTCAAAATGTCTCAAGAACGCTTGCCATCTCCTTGAATTGGCTGTGGAAATTCTGAAGGGGGAAAAATAAAAGAGAAATAAATTGGCATCAAGGGTACACCAACAACGGACGGTCTGCTCATGCTCAAAATCTCATGCTAGAGGCGCAATGCGTTGCAGTGTGCCATACATGGCCAACACACCCCTCATTTCTTTTGATACCTGCTGCCTCTTTAGAAGATCATGGGTTGCCCTCTCCCCTCTTTGGAAGAGCTTTATAGCTCCTGCTGCCTTAAGAAAGCTCAAAACGTTCTCAAAGATCCATCTCATCCTAGGCACCCTTTTTTTTAAACTATTACCATCTGGTAGATGGTACAGGATAATAAAAACAAGGACAAACAGGCTGAAAGACAGCTTCTATCCCAGGGCAGTAATTCTACTGTATAGTGCAATATCCATGAAATATCGGTGTGTGTGTGTGTGTTTCAATTCAATGTATAGAATGTGAAGGATGTGTGTTTATTTTCATAGTCATAATGTACACTGAAGATGGTATTTAATTTCGTTGTACGAGGTGCAGTGACAATAAAGTAAACTAAACTAAAACTTTAGGCAGCCAAGCAAGGGCTGAGTTATATCTGCGTCACCAGCATGTTCACCTTAAACTCAAAGGGCCACATTGCAAAACCCACCATAACAGGTTTCAAGTCTGAAAGGTTACTTTTTCAAATGGTGTGGGAGCATTAACGGGATTTCCAGAAAAAAGGGGGAAAAATATTGCAGGCTACAGGAACCATTTGCGCTTCAGTTTGTGATACAGGCATTACTCGGCTGATCCTGATGACACAGATAAACCTCCAAGTGGCCTCAACCAGTCTCTAAAAGGATGCAGATGACCAGCTGTCTGCAAAGGGTATAAATCCTTCCATTCCCAACCATCAGAGCTGAAGAAGCTTCTTAGAGGAGAAGTGAAATGTCTTCCAAGTAAAAACAAGGAAGTCCAGTTGCCTCTTGAAAAAAACACCTTTGGGACAACCATGAACTGGAGGACAGAGAATCTCTGCTGACTTTCGACCGACGGAAACCATTTCTGCCTGAAAATGTTAAAGTACATGCCCACTTTTCCAAAAGAGCAAAACTCAGGAAGGACCATTTACCAACCTGGAACTGAGCGATTGTCATTTCAAAGGTTTTGCACGTGACGTTCCCCAACCCATCGGCCACTTTTAACACCACCGTAACGCAAGGCGATTTCAAGGATTTACAGCTGTCGGCACTCATGGCGATTCCCAGCTTCCACTGAAAATCTATCAGCTGCAATGGCAAGGGATGAACATATGAGCTTCGGGCACCCCTCGACGTACGACCACAGTGGATCCCAACGTTTATGTTGCTAAGTGAGACTGTTGTTCAGTGAATTTTTTTTCCCTCTTAACGACCTTTCATGCCAACTGTTAAGAAGTTGTAACCTGGTTGTTAAGCAAACCTGGCTTCTCACATTGACTTTGCTTGCCAGAAGGTCACAAAAGGGGGTCCCACATGACCCCTGGGACACTGCAACCGTCATAAATATGAGTCAGTTGCCAAGAGTCTGAATTTTGATCCTGTGACAGTGGGGCTGCTGCAAAACAGCCATAAGCCACTTTTTTTGCAGGGCCGCTGTAACTTTGAACAGTCACTAAACCAACTGTTGTAAGTCAAGGATACCTGTAGTGTTGGAACAGGCCTGGGAAGACACAGGTTATATAGTCCACCCTCCAGCCTGGGAGATCCCTGGCAAGTTTGGGTCCAAACAGGGCAGTTCTGCAGTTCTATTGAGTCTGTCACCTGCACCTCTATAACTGACTGGTTTGATTCTGCAACCCAACAAAGACACAGACTTCAGAGGATAATTAGACTGCAGAAACAATGTATGTATACTCCACGAGTCAAAAAAGAGGGCTGTGAAAATATCTACAGACTCCTCACATCCTGGACATAAACTGTTTTAACTCCTACCCTCAAAACGACGCTATAGAGCAGTGGTGGCTAACCTTTTTGGGCTCCTGTGCCAAAAAACACTTCTTATATTATAGGAAATGATGAAACGGGCCTATTATTCGGCCTGCAAGGCCTGCAGAGGCTTTTTTCAAACCTCTGAGAGGGCGAAAAAAGCTTCAAACCAGCCAAATCAGCTGTGAGGTACGCACATGTGCAGTGAGATAAGTTTGCCTGTGGCTTGTGTGCCGGCACAAATGGCTCTGCGTGCCACCTGTGGCATGCGTGCCATAGGTTCGCCATCATGGCTATAGAGCACTGCACACCAGAACAACTAGACACAAGGACAGTTTTTCCCCGAATGCCATCACTCAGCAAATAATTCTCTCAACATTGCTCAAGTATTTACAAAGTCTGCACTACTATTACTATTAATCTTCTCATCACTCCTTATCACCCATCCCCTCCCACTTGTGACTGTATGACTGTAACTTTGTCATTTGTATCCTTACGGTTTAGACTGACTGTTTCCTAGAGTATGATTCGATTGCTTATTGTACCCTATGACTATTATTAAGTGATGCACCTGATGATTCTTGACGAATGTATCTTTTCTTTTATGTACACTGAGAGCATTTGCACCAAGACAAATTCCTTGTGTGCCCAATCACACTTGGCCAATAAAGAATTCTATTCTATTCAGTTGTTGGGGGAAAAAAACCTAGGGATATTTGCCCGGGAGCAAGAAAGGAGACCCATCTAATATGTAGCATTTTTAAAACTTCCTGTCTTCCTTACCTGTCCGGCTGCTGCCACAGGTTTTGCATTCTCCAATCCCACCAGGGATTCTCTTTTCTCCTTCCACATCTGTTGGATGACCTGGCCAGACTGTTGTGGCAGAAAAGCGAACCTTTTGCCCAATTCGGTGGAAAATTCTTCCGAGGAGAATTTATTTTTCACGGCTGTGCTGTAACACCCCCACCCCACCCAAAAAAACCAAAATCAAATCAAATTGGCCTCTTCGATATGAACTGTTTCAGCAATTTTTGTCAACTTTAAATCCCTTCATGGCTTGGGAGCGGGTTATCTGAGGGAACGTCTCTTGCCGGTCACATCTACCTGACCCACTAGAACAGGGAGGCAGGGAATGCGTGCAGGTCCCATCCCTGGGGGAGATACACCTGGTGGGACCCAAAAGAAGAGCCTTCTCCATGGTGGCTCCCTCTCTCTGGAATATCATTCCCCTCAGAGAATGGCCTCACTCTAGCACTCTTCCGGAAGGCACTGAAAAAAACCTGATTCTGCCATCGGGCCTGGGGAACCCAGAGCGGGATAGAGACCAACAAATGGCTACTGAGATCTGCTGTCATGGGGGTGGGGGTGAGTGATTGATTGATTGATTGATTTCCAGATTTTGTTCTATTGTACTTTATTAACTTACTTGATTTGTTTTGTTAGTTTTATTGTTTTTTTATTTTAAATATGGTTTTTACATTCTGTAAGCTGCCTCGAGTGGCCATGGGCAAATAGGCGGCCATATAAATTCAATACATAAATAACAAATAAATAATTTTGTTATCAATCTTCCCTCCCCACACCCTCCGTTGGGCTGGGGGAATGCCTGCCTCCTTCCCCTTCCCCCAAGAGTCCAATGGCCCAAAATAAGGGGCAGGGAGACCCCCAACCTGGAGAAGGGAGAGAGGGAAGAGACTTACCCAAAAAGCCAGGAGAGGGTCTGGAGCACCTGGGACAGGTCAGCTGGGGTTATTTCCACACCGGCTGCACGGCATCTCTAGGAGAAAAAAGCAGCTGTGAGGCTGGCGCTTTGACAGTCCACTCCAGCACTCACTCCCCAGGACTGTCTTAATGCAGGGGCCTGATGGTCCCTTGCCCATGGGCCCGAGTATAGGGGCCCCTTACAAAGCTGTGTATGTTAACCCTTCAATGGACCTTGTATCATATAAGTACAGAACTACTACTGCTGTTGACTTCACCCCATTCCTAAGAGGTCTATAAGGGGGCGTGCATAAGCGCACCAGCATGCCTACCACCCTGTCCTAATGTTCCCCTTTTAATTGTATCCATTTCATGTATTCATAATCATGTTTATACTTATATCCGTTATCTGATACATGCTCAACAAACGAAAGAAAAAACAAATCAATAAATAAACATTTATGACATATTTGTTGGAAGTGCCAATGAAATAAATATAGGCTTAATTTTTTATTTTATTTTGAGGATCAACTACATTTTATTTCCAACCAAAAGTTTTAAAATAATCAAGTGATTTCTTTCATAAATTACAAATAAAAAATTAAGTTCAAATTATGAATTAGAATTTCACTACACTTATATTTCTTCTTTTTAAACCTTACAATAGTTTTCATTCTGCTTGAAAACATACATGGCTTCATATCAAACGTTTGCTGAGCTTTCTGCAAAGACAGCTGTATCAAGCTACCATTTTGATTATAAACTTGCTTTTTTTACTCTACTTTTCACAATTTGGATTATGATATACTATATCATTACATTATATAACATTATATAATTACATTAGACCTGTATCCTGCACCAGTCAAAAAGAGGGCTGTGAAAATATTTACAGACCCTTCACATCCCGGACATAAACTGTTTCAACTCCTTCCCTCAAAACGATGCTATAGAGCACTGCACACCAGAACAACTAGACACAAGGACAGTTTTTTCCTGAATGCCATCAATGAAAATAAATCCCTCAACACTGCCCAAGTATTTACAAAATCTGCACTACTATTACTATTAATCTTCTCATCACTCCTTATTACCCATATCCTCCCACTTGTGACTGTATGACTGTAACTTTGTTGCTTGTATCCTTACTATTTATATTGACTGTTTCCTGGTATGATTTGATTGCTTACTGCACCCTATGGCTATCATTAAGTGTTGTACCTTATGATTCTTGGCTCTTGTTGAATGTATCTTTTGTTTTATGTACACTGAGAGCATTTGCACCAAGACAAATTCCTTGTGTGTCCAATCATAGTTGGCCAAGAAAGAATTCTATTCTATTCTATTCTATTCTATTCTACTCTACTCTACTCTTATTGTACCCTATGACTATCATTAAGTGTGCTACCTTATGATTCTTGACTCTTGACAAATGTATCTTTTCTTCTATGTATACAGAGAGCATTTGCACCAAGACAAATGCCTTGTGTGTCCAATCACACTTGACCAATAAAAGAATTCTCTTATGATATATAATATAGGCTTACATTTTAATCGACCACCCTGCCACTCCCCACTCTGCCCTGCGTCGCCCCGCTCACCTGGCACATCTGGGGGGCATCGAAAGCGACCCTCCCGGATTGCAACCGCTGCACGGCTCGCTCGCCCTGCGGAGAGAAGGCAGATGGAGAGACCCTTCCCCTGCTCTCCTGCAGACCCCCAAGAAGAGGAGGTCGGCGGGGGTCCCGGGACCCCAAGAGGAGGCTCTAAAACCTCTCCCACCCAGATCCTCGGCAGAAGAGGGAAGGGGGTGGAAAGGAAGACCCCCCTTGTCTCCGAGGGTCTGGGGGTTCTGCAAGGAAGGGGGCTCACCAGCTCCGCCAGCAGGTCCGGCGGGAGGGTCCCCAGCGGGGCAAGGGACGGGGCTCCCCCCGCATCTCCCGGCTGCATCGCGGAAGCTGCGCAGCGCGACCAACGCAGCCAATCGGGAAGGGCGTGGCGTGGCGTTTGGCCCCTCCCACCAGCCCCGCCTCCAGGCGTTTCGGACGAGCCCAAGCGGCCGGGGCGGAGGGGTGGGGGCGGGAAGCGAATGCCTCCCTCCCCGCCTCCCCGCGCTTTGGTACGGCCGGGGCGGGGCGAGATCGAAGGGAATCGAGCCGGTCTGCCATGGAGGTTCCGCGCTGGCTGCCGCTGGAGGCGAACCCGGAGGTGGGTGGGTGCGTGGGTGGGTTAGGGACGGGGCGCGTGGGTAGGGACGGAGGGGGCGCGCGGGTGGGAAGAAGGGACGGAG